AGAATCTTTACTTTGTTGCCCTCAGTAGAGTGCTATGACTTCACAGCTCATAGCAACCTCCAGCTTCTGGGCTTAGGTGATTTCTCTTGCCTCAGCCTCCTGATTACCTAGGACTACAGGTGCCTGCCACAACACCAGGCTATTTTTTTGTTGTTGCATTTTGACCGGGGCCGGGTTCAAAACAACCACCCTTGGTATATGGGGCCAGCGCCCTACTCACTGAGCCACAGTTGCCACCCATGAAACTGTCTTACAGCCACCTGATCTTTGATAAATCAAACAAGAACATACACTGGGGGAAAGAATACCTATTCAACAAGTCGTGCTGGGAGAACTGGATAGCCACATGTAAAAGACTTGAACAGGGGACGGTGCCTATGGCTTAGTGAGTAGGGCGCCAGCCATATACTGAGGGTGGCGGGTTCAAACCCAGCCCCAGCCAAATTGCAACAAAAAAATAGCCAGGCATTGTGGTGGGCACCTGTAGTCCCAGCTACTCGAGAGGCCGAGGCAAGAGAATTGCCTAAGCCCAAGAGCTGGAGGTTGCTGTGAGCTGTGATGCTACAGCGCTCTACCGAGGGCAACAAATTGAGACTCTGTCTCTGAAAAAAATAAAATAAAAAAGACTTGAACAGGATCCACACTTTTCTTCACTCACTAAAATAGATAGAAGATGGATAAAATATCTAAATCTAAGGCATGACACAATAAAAATCCTCCAAGGTGGTTTGGCAGTGGTTAAGCTGCCAGCCACATAATACCAGGATTGGTGAGTTCAAACCCACCCTGGGTCTACTGAACAACAATGACAACTATAAAAAAATAACCAGGCATTGTGCCAGGTTCCTATAGTCTCACCTACTTGGAAGGCTGAGGCAGGAAAATCACTTAAGCCCAAGCTGTGATGCCACAGCAATCTACTAAGGGTAACATAATGAGACTTTGTCTCAAAAAAAAAAAAAAAAAAATCCTCCAAGGTACTATGGGGAAAACACTCAAAGGTATCTGCCTGGGGAAAGACTTTATGAAGAAGACGCCAGTGGCAATTGCAACATCAACAAAAATAAACAAGTGGAACTTAGTTAAACTGAATACCTTCTGTACAGCTAAGGAAACAACAACCAAATAGCCATCAGAATGGGAAAAGATATTTGTATATTATGAATCCAATAAAACCTTGATAACTAGGATCTATAGAGAACTCAAATTAATCAATAAAAAAGACTCAACAATCCCATATGTCACTGGGCAAGAACCTCTACCTTGACTAGAACCTCTACCGTGACTAGAACCTCTACCCTGAGGTATCACCTAACCACATGAGAATGGTCCACATCACAAAATATCAAAGCTGCAGATGCTGGCATGGATGTGGAGAGAATGAAACATTTTTACGCCACTGGTGGGACTGCAACAATACAACCTTTTTGGAAGGAAGTATGGAGAATCCTCAAATTAGACCTCCCATTTGACCCTGCAATCCCATTATTAGGATCTACCAGGAAGAAACAACCTAAATGCCCACCAATCCAGGAATGGATTAACAAGCTGTGGTATATGTATACATACCATGGAATACTATTTAGCCACTAAAAATGATGGAGACTAAATTTACATCTTTCATATTAACCTGGATGGTGTTGAAACACATTCTTCTTAGCAAAGCATCACAAGAATGGAGGAGCAGGGCAGCGCCTGTGGCTCAGTGAGTAGGGCACTGGCCTCATATACTGAGGGTGGCGGGATCAAATCCAACCCCGGCCAAATTGCAACAAAAAAAACAGCCAGGTGTTGTGGCAGGCATTTGTAGTCCCAGCTTCTCGAGAGGCTGAGGCAAGAGAATCACCTAAGCCCAGGAGCTGGAGGTTGCTGTGAGCTGTGATGCCATGGCACTTTACCAAGGGTGACAAAGTCAGACTCTTTCTCTAACAACAACAACAAAAAGAATGGAGAAGTAAGAATCCAATGTACTCAATTCTGATATGAGGACAATTGATGCTACTACACAGTGGGAGGAGGGAGTTCACAGTGTTTAACACACACACACATACCCCACACCACACACACGTCTTGAGGATGGAACACAATTGTAAGAGGGACTTTACCTAACAAATGCAAGCAGTGTAACCTGATCCTTTGTGCCCTCAATGAATCCCCAACAATAAAAAAAAATTCTACTTCTAGGTATACTTTGATGACATCTTTTATTTTTTGAGACAGCGTCTCTGTATTTCTGGATAGAATACAATGGTGTCATCATAGCTCACAGCAATCTCAAATTCCTGGGCGCAAGTGATCATTCCACCGTAGCCTCCTGAGTATGTGGGACTACAGGTGCACACCACAATGCCTGGTTAAGTTTTCTGTTTTTTTTTCTTTTTTCTGGAGACAGTCTCACTGTGTCACCCTCAGTAGAGTGCCATGGCATCACAGCTCACAGCAACCCCAAATTCTTGGGCTTAAGCTATTCTCTTGCCTCAGCCTCCCAAAGTAGCTGGAACTATAGGCGCATGCCACAACGTTCAGCTATTTTTTTGTTTAGTTGTCATTGTTGTTTAGTAGGCCCAGGCCAGATTCAAACCCACCAGCCCCAGTGTATGTGGCTGGTGCCCTAACTATTGAGCTGTGGGCACCGAGCCTTTTTTCCAAATCTTGAAAGTTATTCTTTCTCCACCGTCACCATTGGCCTTGCCTATGTGCCTATGCCTTAGACCAAGGGTCCTCAAACTTTTTTAACAAGAGGCCAGTTCACTGTCCCTCAGACTGTTGGAGGG